CACTTCCAGGCTGGCAGCAAGTCCCTGCAGCCAAGCTCCTGTTGCGCAGCCCCGTAGCTGGTACCAGGCCTTTCCTCCCATGGCCAAACTTGGGGTTTTTGGCTGCTCCCCGCATGATGCCAGGCATTGGGAACAGAGCGGGAATGTTGGGATGAGCATCACAAGGCAGAGCCAGGTTCTTTCTTCTCTGACCTAGCTGTGCGTCCTTGCAGGAGATTGACAACGTCTGGATCTCCAGTAAACTGAGCCGGGAGCTGCCGTACGTACCCCCACCCCAGCTCCCTCCCTGCTCTCTTGGGGGGTCTGTCTCATCCCTGGCCCCACTGTCCGCTGTTCTGCTGCATTTACACCTTTCTGCAATGCCCGTTTCCCCACGGTCTGTGGGGAATTGACTCTGTGTGGGAGTGAATCGCTCTTCTTTGGGGTGGCAGTGTCTTGTGGATGCTCTTGTGCTGGTCCTGCACGTCCTCAGGGCAGGAGGCATCCCTGGCGATGGGGCCGGGTGTGCCACGTGTGAGCTCTTGTAAGAGTTGCCTGTGCTGTTCTTCCACAGGCGCTACTTTGAGCTGTGTTTTGGTGAGGTGCGAATCCGCACGGATCTCCAGAAGGGCCCTGGGTTCCAACTGTCCGTCCCGGAGGCTCCCAGAGAAGCCAATGGAAATGAAAGCAGAGCAGACCTGAGTCTTAAACCCTCCCTGCTGAGGCTCCTTAGCCAGGTGAGACTCCGGTGTGGTGAGAGGCTGTTGCGGGCTGTGCTGCTGTCGGACATCCCTCACAGTAGCACCTTCCCCCCAGCTCTTTTCCATCCACATGGACTCCATCAACATCATGGTTCTGCACGTGGCCACCTCAGAGTCCCTCTGGCACATCCAGGCCAGCAAGACGCGTCTCCTCCTGAATGGTGACGGGAAGAGGTAACGCTCTGCTCGTGTCCTGCTGTGCTCCCCCAGTCTGGCCCTGGGTCCCAGGGCGCAGGGGGCTCCTCCAACCCCAGCCAGGCTCCCTGGTGTTTCACCTCACTCCATCCCACTCAGCAGCATCCCATGTCACCCATGATGTGACACATTAACCTCCTCTGAGACTGGCCTGCTCTCTTTTCCCTTCACGGGAAGCTCAAGTTGTGTGTTTTCCAAATTATGAGTTGCTGTGCTGTGCACGGAGTTAGGGTGTGCTCTGCTTTCGGGAGGACTTGGAGCAGGGACTTGGGGTCCCTGTGTGCCACAGAAGGGGGAGGGCAGGGGCTTGGTTTGGAGACAGCAGGGCCCACAGCCTCCATCTGTTCTCTGCTCTCCCCAGCCTGACCTGCGAGGTGAGCCTGACAAAGGTGAACAGCAAAGTACTCCGGAGCAGCCAGCTGGTGAGTGCTGGGGAAGGGAGAAATTCAACACTTTGGGCCTGGGCCCCGGCTCTTTGAGACACCCAGAGGACCTGTTCCAGCCTGTCCCCGAGGCTGGACAATGTTGCAAGGTTCCTGCAAGGCTCTGGGCCCCATGCTGTGCCCAGCGCTTCACCTACAGCACCCACTCCTGGCCCCGTACAGGATGACACCTGCCTGGCAGAGCTGGCCCTGGCGCTCTCCCTCTCGCTGGAGATCAACAGCAAGCGGCAGCTGGTGGGCGTCAGGCTGCACGTTTGGACTCTGCAGGCAGAGCTGCACGAAGGGCTCTTCTGCAGCCCGCTGCTGCACCGCATCACTGCCGGGGCCCAGCGCAGCAGTGCAGCGGAACAGCCCAGCCCAGGTGAGGGATGGGGACAGGGACAAGCTCTGGGCAGGGGCTGGCAGCCCCCGCACTTGCACTGAAGCCAGAGGGGTTTGGCTGTGCTATCACTGCCGTGCGCTGCAGGGTGTGGGGGTTAGGGCAAGAGCCTTCCAGTGACTCTGTGTGTCCCTCTCCAGGCCCGGGAGAGACCCCGAAGTCCCTGTCTCTGCTGAGCAGGGACACGCTGCAGCTCGTCCCCAGGAGGGTGGAGGTGAAGCTGGAGAACACCAGTGTGGTGCTGTCTATGAACAGCCAGAAGAGGTAAGGAGGCAGGGGGAGGAGGAGGCTGTCCTAGCCCCCATCAGCGCTGGAGACAGGGACTTAGGGACAACTGTGCCATTCCCTGCTTGTCCCCTGCTCTGCCAGACCACAGAGAGTGAGTCCTAGAGCCCACCCCAGTGGGAAGGACTGAGCTTGGCCTGGGGCCGGGCTCTTGGGGAAGGAGGAAGGCATGTAAGCCGGTTCTGCAGTAGAACAGCCTGATGGGATTCTCTGCTGATGGGATGAGAGCACTAGGCTGGGCTGCAGCTGGGCACTGGCTGCTGTCTTTGTCCATGCCAGCGTGCCGGTCAGCTGAGGATGAGGGACAGGGAGACAGAGGACGTGATGCTGCAGTTCCCTTCTGGCAGTGACTCCCTGCTTCTCACAGGCACCTCACCTGGAGCCTGAAGCTGCTGCAGTTTCTATATCAGCGTGAAGAGGAGCAGATCCCACTGCGCAACTTCACGCCCACCTCAGACCTGGACCAAATGAGTGTAGACCTCCAGCTGGAGGGCAAGTAGCCAGCAGGGCCCCTGTGGCACAGGGTTGCCATTGCTGCTCACCACCACCCCTCACTTCTGCTCCTCTGTCTTTCCAGACGGCCTTCTCCTGTCCCAGAGCCGCCAGCGCATCGTGTGCCTCAACTCCCTGAAGACCAGCGTGCAGGTGAGTGAGTGCTGGGCACGGTCCTGCCACCCGGGGGGGCTGGTTTGGCCTCTGGCATGAGGTTTTTGCCACCCTGCCCTCTCCCTGCTCTAGGTCACAGCCATTGACCTCTCGGCTGCTGTGCTGCTCAATACCTGCATCATCCACTACCGCCACCAAGAGTTTTCACACTGGCTGGGCCTGTTGGCACAGGAATACAGGTGCCAGCCAGTGCCTGTCCCCAGCCAAGGACACAAGGGAAGGTAAACTCGGCCTCAGAGCAGCTGCTGGTATCACAGCTTGTTTCCTCTTGCCTGCCACGCTTTGGCAGGGTGCCCAGGCACCCAGTACCTTCTCTGCCGTGTGCACAGCCCCTGGGATGGGGAGGCTGGTACAGGGGGTGGCAGGCAGTTGGGGGGTCCCTGCAGAGAGGGCGTCCCTCTAGGCCTGCTCCCTGCCAGGCTCCGTGGCACACAGCGCCCCAGTAACAGCCCATCCCTGCTTGTCCCATGCAGGAGCTATCCCCAAATCGTAGCGCCCATCATCCTGTGTGCCTCGCTGTCCAACGTCAATGTGTCAGTGCAGCTGGGGGACACGCCACCCTTCGCCTTGGGCTTCAACTCCATCTCTGCAGGTACGAGCTGGCAGCTGGCACCAGGGTGGCTGCTGGGCCCTTCTTGGGGGTCGGTGGCTGTGCCAGAGAGGCACCAGGATGGGAATGGGGAGACCCATGCCGCCTCTTGTGCTTGCCCATATCTGTGTCTGGCCCCGGGCTGTGGACACCTGCCTGGTTGTGTCTGGGTTGCCCCTGTTCGGGGGCAGCTGAGCAGGCAGCAGCAAGCCCTGCCTGCACTCACCCCCTCCTCTCTGCCTGCAGACTACCAGCACCTGCGGCCACAGAGTGTGCACCAGCGAGTGGTGCTGGCCGTGGACCACCTCTGCTGGCGCGTGGGCAACGACTCGCACATCCAGCGTGCCCCACATCCCCCCAACATGCATGTGTGGGGAGAAGCCCTCATCCTCGACTCCTTCAACCTGCAGGTAATGGATGAGCCGAGGGGGAGAGGGGTGGCTCTCAGAGGGTGGGCTGCCCGTCTGCAACTCCATGCAGGCAGCATGGGGACTTGTGGTGGCCTGGGGGCATCCTGCAGCCTGAGAGTGATAGTCCTGTTTGTCTTGCAGGGCAGCC